ACAAGGCACTTGCGCCGTTTCAATATAAAATGATGGGTTAATAAATACACTGTCAGTAGCCTACTCTACCGTTACAGATAGTCTTATGTTTGATTTGACCTATACTTCGATTCAACACGTTATACACCGATGCAACACATAGCCGCCACGCATTGTGCATGCCTGAACACAGTAGATAGAGTATCTCCTATCTCCTATCTACTGTGTATCTGTGCATGCCCACAATGGCGTGCGGGCTATTGGTGCATCGGTGTATTTAACGGGTGTTGAAGTGATGAGTTATTAGAGTCAATCAAACATTAGACTTATTGCTGGTACTGTAGTAGTAGGTACTGAAAGTTGTATTTATTAACCATCTTTTATTATTGAACGTCAAGTGCGGTGATGATGGCACTAGTGTAGTTGTAGGAGCTGGCCATGGCATCTGCACAGTATAGGCCATCGATTCCACTTCAACGTAATATGACGGTAGAGGGGATTGAAGTATACAACTACAGTCATTATAAGTTATATATATCGGCCGCTGTCGATAACATGCAGTATGCAAACATATTTATCTTTGGTACGCACTCATAAGTCGATATATTTATTAATTTCGTAGCCATGTCTCCACTTTAGTAAACGGTGACAGGATTAATCACTCCTGCGCTCTTCGAGCTTCGATGCGAAGAGACGAAGCTACACCTGTCCTCGATAAACGTTCTTCGTTCCTGCCATCGCGCCTCATGCCTTTCCTCACCGACGATATAGGTTAACCGCACCGACCACTGCCCCAAAACGGCTATTGCTTCAAGTTCCGTAGATGTGCTCTGGGGCTACGTGGAATGAACTTCGCGGGTGCGTAAGAGTAAGTTGCTGACTCGAGAGAAGTGGCGATAGTCGTTTCGACGTCGCCGTAATTAAAATAGTCGTAGACACCAATACTGCGCAATATTGACGTTAACACTTTCATACAGTTGCACTTACGTCTACAGCACCATTGCATCGTCTTATCTCGTAAGCCTCCCCACTTTGCCAACATAGATGTTCTGTGCGCAGTGTATTATGTCGTTCGTCCGTTAGCAGTACAGGATCGTCTACGTGAATTGTAACCGTTAGCGTGAGAAATCATCGAAGTCTTTGCCGCTAGCTCTGCTGCCTGTTCTGCTCTTTTGTTTTCGCGGGATAAAAACAACCTGTGTGTGTTTTCTTTCACTTGACTCTTTGTTTTATTAATTGTCTCCGACTATCTTCTTACTGGGTGATTATTAGATAACTCTTTCGAGAGGCTAACTCAGATTTCTACGGGAATAAGCACATAGAATAGAGATCTTTTACTTGATGAGTTAGCCATTATAAATATGTGGCGCCCTCTGTAGGCCCATATGTGGCGGATATATATTTTGCCGTGAAACGATGTGGTTTTGCTGTGTTTTATTTTTGTATAAACTAGAATTATGATATACATTTAGCTATTTAAGTTATATATAATTCTATATAGATATATATATATATATATATATATATATATATGATAATTATATATACGTGTGTGTGTGCTTCGTGTGATGTGTGTGTGTGTGCGTTGTGTGTCGTGATGTGGTGTCGTTGTGCGTGCCGTTGCGTGCGCGCGTGCGCGGGCGTTTCAGGACCTGCAAAGGTGTTCAACAGCTGTGGGAGGTTCAGTGAGATTTGTGGACTTGAGAATGGCGCATTTTGGGATATAATGCTGTAGAGTTCGATATTTTCACACGACCAGGTTGCTGATTTTGGCTTACATATGTATTGCCAAGTTATATTCTGTTGCATTCGATGAAAAGAAACCGATTTTAGGCATTAAATATTTAAAGAGTAAACTAACTGTTGACGATTTTGTTTCTTGTTGGCGTGAAGGCGTGAGAATGCGGAGGGCCGCGGAGAGGCAGTGCGGAGAATGAGTCAGTGCGTGAAAGATCTCCGCGATGCGTGAGACTTGGTAGGTTGGCGGCAACAGCTCAGTCGTCTCGTGTGGTGTGTGTTTTGTTTGTGTGTGTGTGCTGTGTTTGTGTTGTGTGTTGGTTGTGTCGGCGTGCGTGTGCGTGGTGTTTGTGCGTGCGTGATGGTGTGTGTACGTGCTGGCGTGGTGTTTCGTGCGTTGCGTCGTGTTGTGTGTGTGTGTGTACGGTTGTCGCGAATGCCGCGCGGCGCGTGTATGTGTTTGTGTGTGTGTGCGTGCGTCGTGTGGCGCGCGGCGGATATATTGTAGTTGCTATTAGCTCTCCGGGTTAGAGTACAGTTGTATGTACTATGCGTACATATAGAACAACATTGTTGATTGTGTTTAGAGTGAAATTTGTAAATAGATTTACATATTTACAAATACTAACTTTATATATCGCGTACTGTTTAGATGTTTTTTAGTTATTTACTGTAATCGTTTGCAGTCTGTTCGCTCATGCATTTTCTAACATTTTGTGTACGCGCCTGGTTCCCGTTATCTGGAATTTCCAGAATAAACAACTCGAGTTTTGAGGACGAGTACGGCAGGAGCCCGTTGTGAAAAAACAGCATGAAACATTAGGACATATCACCATAGGTCAATGATGCACAACAAACATTTCGTGGAAAAAGCTTATGACATCCTAGATTTATGAAGTCATGTCTATTTATGGTGTTTACGCCCACGGGCCCGAGGTTACCAAGATATTTAAAACATTGTCCAACTATACATATCTAGGTCATGGCTACGTTACAACCATAGAAATAATACTAGTAATATAGTGTATCCTATACTCTAGTGCCTCTATATATTTCCATGGTTGCAACAAACGCATCTGCCGGCTGGATCCCAGCTATACAGGGACTGATTTAAAAATGTGTACTGCTGCAACAAATTTTTCACGTTTGAGGACGAATGTATTGATATTAGAAGTATATAAAGTTATACACACTCGAGCAAGTTTCAAACGAATGAGCCGCGCTGTGACATTACTTGAACACGAGCGATTGATGGTAGCACTCAGCTTATTTCACCGTACAGCGTTGAGCAAGTGTTACTGTAACATTTGGGTGAAGTATCCTAGCCAGCAGAAAAATATACTAATAAACGTGTAATATGCCATAATGCACACGAGAGGTTTTGAGTGCACGTAAAAGACCGAGTATTATTGCAGTTTGTTCACAGAGCGATGTTTCAGTTATCTAATGAACACGGGCGTTTCCGTGGGTCGTTTTTTAATCAAACTTATACAAAAACGTTTAAGCTGCGTTACAGTATCGATTTCAAGTGCATTCCCAACTTGCCCCCTACTTGACCCAAGTGCATTCCAACTAATCGCTGAACATTCGATTGTGTGGAGTCGTGGTCGGGTCAAGTCGGCGAGTTGGAGAATAGAACGTGTTCTATTTTGCACGACTCGGACGATTTGCTGACAAAAATCGATAGTGTAAACGCAGCTTACACGTATCTCTATGACAAACACAAAAACAAAGACAGCAAAATCAATGTTCGGATAGTATTTTGATGAGCAAGTCAACGTGTAAGAGCATCCACTAAAATGCTAAAAACAAACTTTCATACATAGGCAAATTAAGAGGAAACAGTTGGTCTGTATAAGGTAACTTGCCAGAGATTATTCGCGTTGTTATATAATAATTTGGTTTAAGTCACCACTAGTATGCTGGTGAGACCGTAATATCAACTGTGTTGCATCAACATACTTTGGTCATGCTTACACGTCTTCTAAATCGTCAAATAAACCATATGATCCCAGAAATGCCTACGTACTGGACCATAATAATGTTCTTAGAAACTACCAACAAATCTTTCACAAGATATCCTCCGGCTGTAGCAAGTTCAGATTAGCGTGACGAAATGAAAACAAGCAACAGCACACCTAACTCTTCACTTGTTAACTGCATCCCACACACAGGTTTACACCAATCGCCGGACGACTCACTACCTATAGACAAATCTCCCACTACACCACCAGTTGCACACACTTGTGACCGACCTTCCACAAACACTAACCCTGTCTGGAGAATTGCCGCCGATATGTTGCACAGACTCACCGGTACATGCCAACCTGCATTTCTCGAACAAAAATAACTGCAAGAGGAAAGATCACTCTAGTATCCCTGGTTAGGCCTCGTTTAAACATCTTTACTTTACAATACATCGACAGCGTCAACCAAGTGTGGGCAAGTAGGTAGGAGAGGAACATTTCCAAATACGTCTCTCAAACCGTATAATCATATGTATAACGTCATATTAATCAATTTCCCCTGGAGTCGGCACGATTTCAACAGCTCCGCAGGGTGCATCATGCGATCAATAAATCATTTAACAGTGGCCTCTAGAACATGTAGTGTTGTGTAGCAGCCAGCTTCACAAAGGACTTTTTCCTCCTCGAACGGACGCGTACATGGCACGATAGAGGAAATAAGTGAGAAGCAGCCTCCACCTACCTTGTACTAGTAGTTGGAGGGGGGGGGGTAAATTCAAAACACACACATTTATATTCGTGTGAACAATCCTTATATCTATATATGATGTCGATAGTGTATCGATATATATATCAGTGTTACTGCATAAGTGGTTACAAATGGCTGAATCAAAATTATTTCTACATGAACATTTAGCCATCGAACGATCAAGGCTATAGCACAGGGCAAAACCGGATGGGATGATATTAACAGCAGAAATGAACCCAAGCACTTCAGAGATATGAAACACTGGCAAATTTAAACACATGTAATATGGGCAGAACATTTCTGTTTAAAATGCTTGACAATGCTATCCAAAATGCATCACTGTCTTTTGTTTCGGTAAAGTTCATATAGCGAAGTAAACATGCTTTAATTCTCCCTTAACCAATGTCCATCTTGTCGTTCGATATTCCAAAGGGTTGAATCTCACCCACGGACACTGCACTTTCTTTTAATGGAATAATTTTACCATGTCATCGCTTCCCAGACTTTATCTAACCATAAAAACAGACAGTCCTGTTTAACCTCAGTGATGTTCCAATTCTGTGAGGACGAGTGTGGTATCGGTTAGCAGATGTCTGCAAGCAGCCCAAGCAGAACAGGTGTGGTAGGAAGTAAAATAGCAGGAAGCCATTGCACAAGCAACAGTAGCAATAGCAGGCTGACAGATGGGAGTACTGAAGCACAGGAAACAGCTGGAACCAAGGGGGCGGATAGTAGCGTGACAGCATGCCACGGGAAGGGAACGGTGCTGCGGGAAGCGAGCAATGTCAACTGTTCAGGGTTTATATGTCGTCAATGTCCAGGTCCCCGTCATCGGCTCCATCCTGCTTTACTGGCACCGCTGGAGCAGTCACCTCCACTGACAGCTTGTCACGAGCTTTAGAGTCGTAGACAATCTGCAAATCAAAGAAACAGACTGCAATTACAAGCATGACTCTTTATAGTACCAAGCCACTGAAGCGGACCTGAACCACCCCCTAGAGCAGGATAACTTTAGCTCGGGCTAAGTATGTTTCGACCTTTTATACTGGGGGTTATCCCGCTTCAGGTCCGGACCTGAAGCGGGATAAACCCCAGTATAAAACGGCAACAGTCTTATATGTGAGATTTGTCTTATTTGTATAACACTCTCTATTCGTAGCACAGGTTTCTCATATTATTCGTACTGTTACTACGGCTTATAGGGTCTATGTCCCCCAGGGTACTGCCGAAACGTACCCTGGGTACGGTCCGGTATACCGGAACGCACCCTGGTCACTATTTGATATGGTTAGGGTTAGGGAGTAGGCAACTTCCTAGACTCGTTACTCGTTAGTGGAGTAGGCGAGGTACGGTCCGGCATATTAGATAGTACCAGGGTACGTTCCGGCAGTACCGCGGGGGACATAGACCCTCTCAGCGTTACTACGTGTCAGAACACCAGCAAATAATAAACTAAATGTTTGGATTGTTGGAAACATACTGTAAGTGTAAAATTACATGCTATTCCTCGTCTATTTGATTAAAAATGTATTGTCACTGCACATCACTGCGGTGCAAATCCACTTTAGGCACCTTATATCACGAAGTGATGCACAGATTTCTGTGTATCACCCACTGATGTTCCCCTTTTCCCAAGCAGGGTCCCATTCCCCTAATATCCCAACACAGGCCCTTGGATGCTCAAGTTTAAAGTTTCAAGAAGAGTAAAAGAGCGAAGCAGTGTACTCTGACAAGCAGTAAGCTCTGACAATATAGCCCTGTAGCTGCACATCCACTAGCCCGCCCAGCCTGTGCGACGGATTGTCTATACGGTATTCTAACCCTAGCAATACCGTTTCTTGGAGCTACACATTGGAGCCACTTGGAGCCACAGGCTACAGTGTGACAGCTTAATACACGGTCGGTTCTCCTGGTATACACCTTACATGCTATAACCATACATGATAGAATGTGTTTTTCGTAGCATGTTCAAATATTGTTGTATTCAGGCACAGTATTCTAAATGAGGCACTAGTAGTAGTTGTAGGATCTGGCCATGGCATTTGCCCATATACGGCCATCGATCCACTCACGTAAAATGACGGGAGGGGATTGAAGTCATACAACTTACAAGTCATTATAAGTCTATATATATCGGCCGCGTCGAGAACATGCAGTATGCAAACATATTTAAATCTTTGGTACGCACCTCATAGTCGATATTATTAATTCGTAGCCATGTCTCCACCTTTAACGTAAACGGTGACAGATTAATCACTCCTGCGCTCTTCGAGCTTCGAGCGAAAGAGACGAGATACACCCTGTCCTCGATAAAGTTCTTCTTCCTGGCATCGCGCTCAGCTTTCCTCCACCGACGATATAGGTAAACCGCACCGACCACTGCCCCAACAACGGCTATTGCTTCCAGTCCGTAGATGTGACTCTTGGGGGTACGTGGAATGAACTTTCGCGGGTGCGTAAAGAAGAAGTGATGACTGCGATAGAAGTGGGATAGTCGTTTCGACATCGCGTAAAATTAAAAATAGTCGTAGAACAACCCAATAATGGCAAATATGACGTTAACACTTTACACTACAGCTTTGCACTACGTCTACAGCACCATTCGCATCGTCTATCTCGTAAGCCTCCCCACTATTGCCAACATAGATAGGTTCTGTTCGCAGATGTATTATGTCCGTTGTCCGTTAAGCAGATACAGGGATCGTCTACGTGCACATTGACATTGTAACCGTACGTGAGAAATAACACGAAGTCTTGCGCTCTGCTGCCTGTTCTGCTGTTCTGTTATTCGCGGATAAAAACAAAACCTGTGTGTGTTTTCTTTCACTTGCTCTTTGTTTTATTAATTGTCTCTACTATCTTTTACTGTGATGATTATTAGATAACTCTTTCGAGAGCTAACTCAGATTTCTACGGGTAGCACATTATAACATAGTGGCGCCCTCTGTAGGACCATAATGTGGCGGATATATAATTTTGGTGAAAACGATGTGGTTTTTGTTTTGTTTTATTTTATAAACTATGTATACATTTAGCTATAGTATATATATATTTTATATAATTATTATAAGTATATATTATTATATCATGTGTGTTGTGTTGCGCGTAGGTGTGCATGTGTAGTGGCGTGTGTGTAGTGTGTGCGTGTGTGCTGCGTGGCGTGCGTGCTGCAGTGTGGCGCGCGCGTGTTCCAGACCCGCTGCCGAAATGGTGTTCAACCAGCTCTCTGAGTTCAGCTTAGATTTTGCTGAGAATGGGTCATTTTTGGAATATAATGCTGGAGGTTTCAGAATATTTTCAAACACGACCAGTTTCTGATATCTCTTGGTCTTTAAAATATCTTTTTCAGTACATATATATTCCTGTTTGCATTCGAAGATAAAGTAAATACCAAATTTTAAGGCTATTAAAAACTAAATTCTAACAGTGCTAAAACTTATATCTGTGAAGATTTTGTTTCTTTTGCGTGAATT